AGGTACAGCATCATCATCATCATCATCATCATCATCATCATTGTCATGTGGTAAAGGTCACCATCAGGGGGGGGGAGGCGTAAAGGGGGGAAGAGGGAGGTACTGTACTGACCTTGTTCTTGGCTTCAGTATCAGCACCGTGCTGCAACAGCATCTCCACCACCTTGTCATGACCCCTATGGCACGCCCAGTGCAGTGCTGTATAGCCATCCTGTGGGATGATGCATCAGCATGACGTACAGGTACAGCATCATCATCATCATCATCATCATCATCATCATTATCATGTGGTACAGGTCACCATCAGGGAGGCGTAAAGGGGGGAAGAGGGAGGTACTGTACTGACGTTGGTCTTGGCTTTAGTATCAACACCGTGCTGCAACAGCATCTCCACCACCTTGTCATGACCCCTATGGCACGCCCAGTGCAGTGCTGTATAGCCATCCTGTGGGATGATGCATCAGCATGACGTACAGGTACAGCATCATCATCATCATCATCATCATCATCATCATTGTCATGTGGTAAAGGTCACCATCAGGGGGGGGGAGGCGTAAAGGGGGGGGGTGGAAGAACTGTACTGACCTTGTTCTTGGCTTCAGTATCAACACCGTGCTGCAACAGCATCTCCACCACCTTGACACAACCCGTGAATGGCAAGCCTGTACAGTGGTGTATCGCCACCCTGTGGGATGATGCATCCGCATGACGAACAGGTATCATCATCATCATCATCATCATCATCATGTGGTCCAGGTCACCATCAGTGGGGAGGGGTAAAGGGGGAAAGAGGGAGGTACTGTACTGACGATGTCCTTGGCTTCAGTATCAACACCGTACTGCAACAGCATCTCCACCACCTTGTCACGACCCCTATGGCAGGCCTTGTGCAGTGGTGTTTCGCCATTCTGTGGGATGATGCATCAGCATGACATACAGGTACATCATCGTCATCATCATCATCATTATCATCACCACCATCATAGGGGGGGGGTGGAAGAACTGTACTGACGTCGTTCTTGGCTTTAGTATCAACACCGTGCTGCAACAGCATCTCCACCACCTTGACACAACCCCTATGGCAAGCCATGTGCAGTGGTGTATCGCCACCCTGTGGGATGATGCATCCGCATGACGAACAGGTACAGCATCATCATCATCATCATCATCATGTGGTCCAGGTCACCATCAGTGGGGAGGGTGGGGGGAAGAGGGAGGTACTGTACTGACGTTGGTCTTGGCTTTAGCATCAACACCGTGCTGCAACAGCATCTCCACCACCTTGACATAACCGTGATAGCAGGCCATGTGCAGTGGTGTATCGCCACCCTGTGGGATGATGCATCAGCATGACGTACAGGTACAGCATCATCATCATCATCATGTGGTCCAGGTCACCATCATAGGGGGAGGGGGGGAGGAGGAAAAAACTGTACTGACGTTGGTCTTGGCTTCAGCATCAACACCGCGCTGCAACAGCATCTCCACCACCTTGACAAGACCGTTATAGCAGGCCTGGTGCA